GTCAGTTTGTACTCAAAATGACACATACATACACACCTTTTTTCCACCATCACAACTACCAACTATTCACCACACACATACCTCACGATCACTTACAAAACATATCAGAATGCAAACACAGCATTAAATTACTTATATACTTTCACGCCACCAATTACCATTATCACGCAAATGCACACCTATACTATACTGACTACAAATACACAATACTCTATAAATCAGTCATTTCTATACAACTTTACATTGGACAATTTGGACAAACACACTTATACTTCACACGATCTAACCAACTATTATTAATACAACCTAACCACCGTGGCTGCAACCCTAAGAGTTCTAAGTTTATTTTTAATGGATAGTTTTGACACGCTAAATGAAATTGATCAAATTAAACTCTCAAAATCATTCAACTGTAACATTCAGGACCTTAAAATAAAGAATAAAAATTCTACATATAATTTGACTATTTTAACACAAAACATTAGAAGTATATACAAAAATTTTGATGATTTGCAACTCACTCTGGCACAACTAAAATTTGAAATAGATGTTTTAATTTTTACGGAATGTTAGTTACACCCTAACAAAAACATACCTCAATTACAGAATTACACATTACACATTACAAATCACATTAACCGAAGTGATGGGGTAGTAGCATATACTAAAACCAAACTATTAGTAAAATTTAATGAACTAAACCTTAAAAAAACGGACTTGAATTGGTAATCTCAAACTATACCATACTGGGTATTTACCGTTTCCCCATCATTTTTAAATGCAGGGAATTTCATCATATCTCTCAGTAATCACCTTGAAAATATAAACCCTTGTAAAAATATTTTAATTTTAGGTGACATTAACATTGATTTAATTATTTCTCCAACTGAAACTAATCAAGAAAGATCCAACAGATTAAATTATTTAAATATGATATCTTTGCATGGAATTTTCTCGTCTCATAATTTACCTACGAGAGGGGATGGCTGTCTTGACCACGTTTTATTGAGACTTGACAAAAAATACAACACAACCTTCACTGCTGTACTAAATACAACTACAACAGACCATTGCCCGGTTCTTTTAGCAATTGCAAATCAGAATCAGCAAATGAGTCTCCTAAGACATAAAACTGTAGTTGACTATAATAATGCTTACAAGAGTTTAACAAATATTGATGTCTCCTTCTTTAATATTTTTAAAGACCCTGATACTTATGCTTTTGCGCTAATAGAAATGGTCAGGTCAGCTATCCTATCCAATACTAAAAACGTAATTGTCTCGAATAGCAAAAGAATCATAAAACCCTGGATAACCACAGGTGCTTTGCGGTGTATTAGACTAAGAAATAATATTTACCTAAGACTTAAATTGAACCCCCAAAATCAAATGTTAATAATAACATATAGACGTTATCGTACTTTATGTGGAAATCTTATAAAAAAACTAAAAATAAAATATAATAAAGAAAAAATTAAAGCATCGGTACAAAACCCTCGAGCTCTCTGGTTAACCATTAACGAAATCACCCACTATAAGCCACCCAAGAGCCCAAATGAAGACCTACTTAATATAAAATCTTGTCCGCAAACCTCAATCAACCATTTAAACAAATTCTTTGTCAACATTGGGCAAACATTAGCTGAGAACATCTCAAATAGCTTCACAACTTCGGAAACTACTAACTCTGATAACCATCATCATTCCTCTTTTGTTTTACTAGATACATCTTGCAAGGAAGTGGAAAATACCTTAATGTCCTTGGACTCTGGGAGTGCACCAGGTTGGGACGGAATCCCTACTTTTTTTCTAAAACGAAGTAAGGACATCCTTGTCCCTTTGATTACCGACCTTGCCAACCTGTGTTTTCGCACAGGAAACTTCCCATACCTTCTTAAGCGCTCCATCGTGACCCCTGTGTATAAGAGTGGAGATAGGGACGACGTAAACAACTATAGACCTATCTTTGTGTTGGCCTCCATTTCTAAAATCATTGAGAAGCTCTTGAACTCTAGAATAGTAAGCTACTTGACCAAGTATAACATCCTATCTACTTCTCAATATGGTTTTAGGAAGGGAATGTCGACACAGGATGCTATCATAGATCTTACATCCGTTATAACAAAAGAAGTAGACAAAGGTAACAAATGTTTAGTGACCTTTCTTGACCTCAAGAAGGCCTTTGATACCGTTTCTGTCCCCATTCTTATACGTAGGCTAGAAAGTATCGGATTTCGTGAATCTGCTCTTTCCCTTCTCAGCAGCTACCTTCAAAACAGAAAGCAGGGTGTAAAAATAAACAAACTAATAAGTGAAGAAGAAAATGTAACGTATGGTGTACAGCAGGGTAGTGTTCTCGGCCCAACCCTCTTTTTGATATATATTAATAATCTCTGTAACCTTGGTAACGTTGGAGGGAGGATACTGTCCTATGCGGACGATACTGCTATTATTTTCACCGCTAAGACCTGGGATAAAATTAGGATGGGGGCTGAGATGGGACTAGGCAGAGTTAGGCACTGGTTAAGTGAGAATTTCGTTACTATTAACACTCAAAAAACGAATTATGTATGCTTCGCTCCATATATTAATTCGCAGCCGTCACCTAATTTTGAAATCAAAATTCATTCCTGTGGACCCTTTCCCTAACACATGTAATTGCCCAGTAATTCAGAAAGTTAGTTGTGTTAAATACCTCGGAATCATTGTGGATCAAATATTAAGTTGGTATCCACACCTAGAACTAACAATTGGCAGGGTAAGGAAGCTCATGTGGGTTTTCAAATCTCTGAGAAACGTGATGAGTACCAAGCTACTGAATAAAATATATATCGCACTAGCCCAGTCTGTAATAATCTACTGCATATCGGTATGGGGAGGAGCAGCTAAATCATACTTTATAGATTTAGAAAGGGCGCAAAGATCCTTGATTAAGGTAATGTACTGGAGGCCCTATAGGTTTTCCACCGAAACCCTATACCAAACATCTAAGCTGCTCTCTGATAGCAAACTTTATATTTTACACATGATACTAAGATATCACAAAACGTTACCATTTGACCATACCAAACTTACGAAAGGGCGGTGCGATATCGTGGCTCCCTCATACCCTGCACGTACAGTATTTGCCACTCGATAAAATATATCTCAAGCTACTCATGCCTATAACAAGATCAACCGCGTACTTAAAATTTACCCAATGCAAATGTTTGAGTGTAGAAAAACTCTGACCGAGTGGCTCTATACTCTTAATTATGATGATGTGGAAAACATTTTGGTCAAAAAGAGATGAACCAGTTTTAAATAACACACACTGACACAACAAATCAGTAGGTAATGTGACACATTTATAAACTTGCATTCATACTCACCCACTCATACTCACGCATACACACACACACACACATACACACACACACATACACACACACGCACACACATACACACACACACACACACACACACACACACACACACACACACACACACACACACACACACACACACACACACACACACACACACACACACACATCATAAACTAACACACCACGGACACAACTACTCAGGTATACATTTCTCCTAAGCTTCTTTCTTTCATTTTAAAATGCATGAATATCTGTAATATTAAGTTTAAAATGTTTATATTCGTTTTTTTAATGTAAATCTAAGTTGATACGATTACGTAGGAAGAGCGAGACTCTCCCAACACAAGTATCTTATGATTACTTTCTTGGAGGCCTCGGCAAACAGCTGTAAAATGATTTACTGAAATAAAACATTTTTAATTTTTTTTTAATTTTTTAATTTCCGACTAATGTTTATTTGATGTTCAGAATTCACTTTTGATCATTAAAAGATTCAAACAACTATGTTTTTATTTATAAAACTATATTAAAGGGCTCCAGATTGAATTTTGGTAATGGCAGCCATTCTCAAAGGAAAATAGCCATCTGCGCATCTGGATTATATTGCCCAAGTGTAATACTACTGCTACTGAGAATTTTGTGACAGAAAAACCCAATAAATGATGCTTGACCCGACTCGGGTTTCGAACTTGGAACCACATGATCAGCAATTCCGTTTACGGCCATTAGACCTAGAAGGCAGTCAAAAATGTTAAAACTATAATAATTTTAAAGAATTTTCTGAAGAAAAAATAAATGGTCACTAAAAAGTCTAGATTTTTATCTCCATATTAATTGCTATTTATACAATCGTAGTTATATTTCATTATAGAACATTTTGCCACAGGTTAGAAAGGGAGCGATCGTCTTCTAAAGCGAAAGCCCGGTAAAAAGCCAACGCGTATGAGAGACAACCAATCGCTCAATTCAACTCTCCTTATATGTTTACCTAAGGCTACGAGGTCATAACCTGTGTCGAACAGAGCGCACGGTAAATTTGAAATAGTTTGAAACAGTTTAAGAGTTATTTTATTACTTGATATTATTGATTGATTCAGTTTGATAAGGCAAGCCGGGCTTCTGGGCTTCTATGGAAACTTCGCCACTGCATGGATAATAAACTAAACAATATCCTAAACTTCTATCCCTTACCTAAATCGAGCTGCAAATCCGTTCTTACTAAATATCTGAAAACTTTACTATGAAGCGACTGAAAACCTATTTAAAGTCGCCTATATAATTTATAGTAATCTCGTTGTAATATTAATATTTTCTTGTGTTCATTTTGGTTTAAAATGTAATTAACACACACACACTCAATCACATACACACTCCCACACACAAACACACACACACACACACACACACACACACACACACACACACACACCCCCCATTTCCGTTCTGATTTGTGTGCCTCAGACAGGTGATCTGTAATATAGGTTTTTTATACCTACATCAGGCACCAGTCTCTCACAACTTAGGTACCAGTCTGGCACTTTTGTAATACTTAGCACTAAGAATACCTATTGTGAAGAGAGAATAAATGCATTCATTCATTCATTCAATAGAGTGATATGATGGTGTCCACAGTAAACGCAACGGGCGAGGCAGCGAGCGGGGCGACGGGCGGAGTGTGGAGCGGTGAGCTGGCGGGCGAGCTACGCACCGCGCGACGTCCGCGAGTCCGCTGTCTGCCTTTGCCTGGTCAGACTTCCCATATCAAAATATTCATCATCACTATCATTACAGCCCCTCACAAGTCCACTGCTGCACATAGGCCTCCCTCAAGCAATACCCACACCCCACAAGACCATAAGTACCACAAAGCACGGTCCTGAGCCAACTGCATCTATTGACTTCCTGCATATCTGGTGGGGTGCTGCAATATATTTCGCCTAACGGTATGAAACTGCCACTCGAAAATCTCACTTCTCCATCGATTATCGATTCTCTGAACTATATGGCCTGACTATTGCCACTTCAGCTTTTTTCCTTTGGGGTATGCCGGTTACTCTGATTCTACTGCGGATATCCTCATCTCTTTTTTTTTGTAGGGTACCATCATTTAGTGTTTCTTCTTTTATATTATTTCCAACTAATACCTCATAGATACATGACTCTTATGGAGATAACAATACTTTTTAAAATATTTCGGACATTCTTTGTATTAGATCCAGATAGTTCATTCATGTAATCTATGTTAATTATTATTAGTCTACCAATGACGGTGTGAACGTCCGAACGTCACTTAATTCACAGGCCCACTGAAAACCAGCGCTGTAATCTCGTATCGACTGCGGCATTAAGCTGAATGCGGTCTGTTTGCCGTGTACGCCACACACACTTGCGTGCGTAAAATGTGTGATGTGTTTAATATTTTTTTTATTCTTCTTTTTTTTCTTCTTTTCACTATGTATTTTTTATGTTTGTGGTTTAAATGTACATGTGGCGTATTTGAGCAATAAATGTTTTCTTTCTTTCTTTATTTCTAAGTTTATCACGCAGAATAAGCCTAGCATATCCCTCTCCATAGCTCGCTGAGCGACCTATTAATTTAGCGAGGTTATACTGCCAAAGTTTGCACAAAATCTAAATTACCATTTATCCAATCTACCCCTAGAGTCACATACGATAAAAACAAAATTTAAAAAGCGACCATAGTTGTTTTCAAATCAATATTACATTTTGAAGTTGACGTTCTGTTTTTTTTTACTTATCTTAAGCCAGTGTTCGACTACATTCTCACCTGGTGGTAAGTGCATATGAAATAGAGATGAAACGGATATCCGGTAACTATCCGGTATTCGGTCTATCCGGCCTAAAATTACTCTCCGGCCGGATACCGGATTTTTAAAAAAAAATCAAAATTAGTTAAGTACTTCATTTATGTCACTTCACAAATATAATCAGTAATCACAAAATTTTCATTATAAATTTTACAAATTTAGTACTCGTATTGTGCTAATGCTCAGAATAAATAATAGTGTACTACGCTACGTAGCTAAGGGCAAATTATGGTAAATAAGTTGTTGTGGTCTCTCATATATAGGGCAAACAAAGAGATCAATTAGAACCCGCGTAAAAGAACACATAGCTGACGTGAAGCATCAACGTTCCGGGAAGTCTGCAGTTTGCGATCATATTCTAGATGGCCCCAACCATTACATCAGATTTGATGTACCACAAATCCTCGCGAAAGAACATCGATTCCTACCAAGGATTTTACGTGAGGCTATTGAAATTAAAAAACATCCTAATTTCAATAGAGAAGGAGGCTGGGTACTACCACCTGCTTGGGATCCTATAATTAATAAAATTAAAACTAAACCCAAGCATACCACTGCAAGACTTCAAAATACAGTTAGTTCATTCTGCGTAGATCGGACCAAAAACAATAATTAAAAAGCTGAAGGTACTCCGGGTTAACTTTGATATCGGGACGTCAGTCACCCCAGTCCCTCGTGACCATGGGTGCTAGAAAGCACCCGAAACGTCGGGTATTAAAATTAATATAAATAAAAGGCGATAAAATCCGTAAAAGTAGTTTTAATCAATGTATAGTGTTCGCGTAAATATAAGAAATCATTAAATAAATACTAATTTCTCTGCATTAAAAGGTAACAAGCGGTTTCGTCTGTCTTCATAAACAAGGCTAGCTTCAGAAAACGTCTTTCGCTGTACACACTTTTTGACAAACTTTGATAAACTTGGGTATTGTGTAGCAATACTGCCCACCAAATGTAAGGCTCACGCTCGCTAACAGTTCGCACTGACTTTACTTTTCGCTTCTTGCGATGCACCAAACGGCAATGCTCGGCAGGATATCCGGCGATAAGACTGGCCGACTATCCGGTATCCGGCCAAACAGCTATCCATTTCATCCCTAATATGAAACCTAATAATAAGATATACCACAAAACAATTTGAGCATTTGCGTTAGTTTTAAAAAAATATGTAAGAAAATTATCAAAATATTTCCTTTTGTTTAATTTTGTCTTTAGGTCAAATAAATTGAAATAGTCCTTTTGCAAGACATAAATAATATTTTTTGATGAAAAAAATGGCAAGTGTTATACCATTTTCGAATCTCAACTAAAGAGACTACTTGCCAAGGGTACTGTAATGCTATTTTTTTAAACGGTGTGACAAGGTCAAACTAATCACTAATATTTTGACTATTGTTGTTTGATTTGGGACCTCTCGTCCGATACCCGCTTGATATCGAGTATCGGGACAACATTTTAAATAAAAAAACTTTTGACTGAAATAACAGGGCCGTTCCTGCCGTGTGTGGACCTGTTCGACTGGTGGACCCTACGCTGCGGCGTGTGGGCGGTGTTCCTGCTGGCGCTGCTGGGCAACGGGACCGTCGTTTTTGTGCTGGTGTTCAGTCGCAGCCGCATTGATGTACCGCGCTTCCTTGTCACCAACCTCGCCGCCGCCGATTTCTTCATGGGTATTTATTTAGGTAAGCTGAAGTATCCATCCATCAATTTCAGGCTATTAAAGTCCCCTGCTGAACATGGGCCTCTCCATAGATTGCCTCATAGGGGGTTTTGTTGTTCGCTTGGCAGACCGTTGGCAACCGCTGCTTTAATAAATTTGAGTTGTTATCGATAAGATGCTGCTGCCCATCTCCTGTTTCAGATTCCCTCAGTCGCCTTTTACGACACCCACGGGACTATGTGAGGTAGTGGATACGAAGCGTCACTCTACAGTTTAAGTATAAAAGTCTTAACCAAAAACATAGACTAATGTTTTCAGACCTATCCTATTTATCGCAGATTCGCCTCTTGAAATGGCATTTGATTGAATCTGTCGTAGAAGTGTCAAAGTGAAAATAATCAACCCATTGCAATAAAAAATGAACGAAGAGCCTTTATGTTCATATTCAGTCTAGTGAAGCTTAAGATCGAGCTAGTGACGATTTGAAAAGAGACCAACATAAACAGTGGACTGTGGGTTGATGAAAAATAAATAATGATTAATATTTCAATTCTCAATTAGTTTTTGACCGTACTATAATAATATAAAAGTTTTTTGTTTTAAATAGGATTCTTGGCGGTAGTGGATGCTGGCACGCTGGGAGAATTTCGCGCGCACGCCATCTCTTGGCAGATGTCGGGAGGCTGCCGCCTCGCTGGTTTTCTCGGCGTGCTGTCGTCCGAACTGTCTGTGTACACGCTGGCTGTCATAACGTTAGAGAGGAACTATGCCATCACACACGCCATGCATCTCAATAAACGGCTCTCGTTGCGGCACGCGGCTATAGTTATGGCAGCCGGCTGGGCTTTCTCACTCACGGCGGCCGCGCTACCACTGTTCGGCATCAGTGACTACCGAAAATTCGCCATATGCTTGCCCTTCGAAACGAGCACTCCCGTCTCGCTCGGGTACGTGGTGTCTTTGCTCGCAATTAACGGTGTGGCATTTCTAGTGCTGCTCGGGTGCTATCTTAAGATGTACTGCGCCATTCGCGGCTCCCAGGCTTGGAACTCAAACGATTCAAGAATAGCGAAGCGAATGGCACTGCTTGTGTTCACGGACTTCCTGTGCTGGTCGCCCATCGCTTTCTTCGCGCTCACCGCCGCTTTCGGTGCCCAACTTGTGTCGCTCGAGGAGGCGAAAGTGTTCACCGTGTTCGTGCTACCGCTTAACTCGTGCTGTAATCCGTTCCTCTACGCGATACTCACGAAGCAGTTCAAGAAAGACTGCGCACTGGTGTGCAAGGCTATCGAGGAGTCGCGGGTGACGCGGGGAATAGGGCGGTGCCGGCACTCGTCCAACTTCAGCAACAGGCAAACGCCGGCCAACACGAATAGCTTAGCGGAGCGGTCGTCGCGCGGGCAGCACGGCGCGCAGTGTGCGTGTCGCCGGCTTCTGCCGGTCGTGACGCCGGTCGTAGTGCCCGAGGGGGGCCAGCGGGAGCGGGAGCGGGAGCAGAAGCGGGAGAGGAAGCGGGCGCGGGTGGCGGGCGGCGAACGGCTGCTGCGCTGGCTACGGGCGTGTGGGCGGCGCGCACCCCCTGCCCCGCCCGCTCCGCGCCCCGCCGCCGCGGCGCCCGCGCGCGCCGGCTCGGTGTCCTCGTCGGTGGAGTTCTCGTCGTCGCGCTCAGACTCGTGGCGCACGTACGGGCGCGCGCCACCACCGCCACGCCGTGCTGCCAGCTGGCTGGTGGCGCGCAAGACCTCGCAGGACTCGAATCTGTCGTCGTCGCGCAACGATTCGTCCGGATCGAACGCGACCGCGTCTACGGGCACGTGGCGCACGACGCGCTCGGGTGGTAGCGCGGCGACCGCGGGGGCGGGGGCGGCGGCGCGGCCACGGCTGATGCGGCAGCCGGCCGTGTCTGCGGACGAGCCGCCCTGCTCGCCGGTGGCGCTGCCCGCGCCGCGGCTGCTGCACACCATTCCGTCGGCCGCGGAGACGGACGCCGCGCAGGAGGCGGCGGACGCGCGTGCCGCCGCCGTGTAGCCGCGCCGCGCCGCCGCCGTGTAGCCGCGCCGCCGCACCGGTGTCTTAACAAACCGTCCATCAGCAACGCCGCGTTGCGACCGTGACGCAAACCGAACGTGTCGTAACACAATTCCGCTCCGCGGGCTGACAGATGAATTATATTTTGTACAGTATTACAACCGTAACAACTTGACGTTTTTATAAGTGTGTATTATTACGATAGTAATGTTATTTATTTAGGACAATTGAATATAAAGGCCTCCGTAGGAGGTGAAAATTAGTTATAGCGTTATTTACACAAGAAAAAAGTATACCGATCGTTGTTACCGTATATAATGTACATTCGCTAGGTGATATTAATGTAAATTTTAGAAAAATATTAAACTAGTTAGTGAGTCGCTGAGAACAGTATTCGTTAACCAGTAAATGCTCATTGCTCACTACTGTGCAAAATATTCACTGTTTATTTAATATTTAGATTTTATATGTGTAGTATAGAAGATAGAACTGAAATAAATATATGTGTGAAACGCTTTACCGTTGAGAAATGACATAAGATTTATGCTACCGCCTGGTTAAGTTTTTTGTTATATTTTAAATATTTTTGTTTGAAATATTTTGTTATTGTATAATACTAATCCGTCATCTCATCCGTTATGAGTTGCACTTGCAATAAATTGTTACATATTCCTGATATTTTACGAAACTGAAACAATCAATGACACCCTTCAGGTCACTTACAAACGCATCATCATTACTTCTCCTTTTTATTTAATGTCTTATAAATCTTAAAAATGTTAAACACAATTTGGAACCAATTAAGATATAAATTGCCTCTACATCTGTTCGCTCTTTGAACGTTTTCAGGCCTCGATCCGTCTCAATCAGATCGTTTGGATATACTTGAACTAGATTTAAGATTAATATTTATTACGTAAGTACACATGTTGTTTGTTGAGATGTTTATAAACACCCGCCCACTGTACATAGCGACGTCTATTTATTTTGCGAGTTTGCGAGGATGATTGACGCTGGAGATTATTTATTTATTTCTACAATAGATGACTTTCATATGAAACTGTGTTTTATTTATATTCTTCCTTCTTTCCATAATTTGTTTTCATTCAAATTCATTTGTTCCGTCCGTCTTAGTCCTCAGGGGTGACAACACATCTGCATTTTGATTCTTAATTGGGGAGAAATATAGAAGTCTTGTCGCCACAGTATCTACATACCATCAAGTGGACTGTGTGCTCATTTGTCACCATATTCTATAAAAAACATTATAAATTAATGAAATATGTGTTCTTAAAAATATCCTTTAGAAATTCTAGACCAGTCGCCATAATATTTACCAAAATTAATGTAGTAATTTTTATACGTGGTAGAGTCACGCTGTACCTATATTATTGTTGTAGCACGAATAGGTTACTCGACCAAAGTAAGATCACTAACCAGCAGACGACTGCTCGCTTGTCGCCCATCTAATAAAAAAAAAGCATAAACCTTTTCCATTGGATTAAATTTTCAAAATAATGGCCGTAAAATACGTGATATAACTTATAAGCAAGCATGGTATCAATAAAATTGTTAATTGTATTTTAAATTATTTGCCATATTCGTAACTTTAAATTTTAACTTCTAGCGGTGAAGGGAAACATTGTTAAAAAAACAATAGGTATTTGACACCGAAGCTGAATAAAATATTTTTGACTTTGAGTTCATATTACCTACACATTATTGAGTTACATTATAACACTCTACCCACTACTAAACACAGACCTTTTCAAGAACAGCGTCATCAGGCATTTATGAGCAATGTTGAAACTGCTTTATGCTCATGAATGCTTCCTCATCACAAATTTAAGGATGATTTCTTTATCAGAGCCTGGCCGGTCAATCGGTAATGAACACCACGAGCAGATGAGGTTGACATTAAACCATTACACACTACAACATATATGATTCGAAAGGCTTACTAGGTGGTAGTGGCAGGCAGTGGTGGTCCTAGGGCGGCGCGAGCGATGCCATCGCACCGGGCGCCGAAATCAACCGAAACGCTACCGGCACCGGTCACCAATCCACTCACTCTTATCACTAACATTCCGTTTTGTTAACGGAGTCAGCTTTACCGGGGAAGTACCACGTTCTCACAGAATACCAGCGTTAAATAGTAGCTTACTACTGCTGTATTTTGTAAGGTCAGTGTAGAGAACCGAAGACCCTTTTCATTGGAAACGAGGCATTCCATCTTAGTCCTCAAGGGTGACAACGCATCTGCATTTTGATTCGCAATCGAGGATAGATGTAGATGTCTATAGGCTACAGCAAACACTTACCATCAGGTGGACTCTGTACTCGTTTGTCACCATATCCTATAAATAAGTCAAAGCACGAGTATTTTGTTGCATACAAGCCAGTACAGTAAGTGACTCTTCGGAAAAAGGACTTAATGGCCTCTTTCTTGATGCAATTGTAAAGGTGTTTGACTTAGACATGAATGATTGTCGAGGTCAAGGGTACAATAATGGTGCGAATATGATAAGAAAATTAAAGTTGTTCAAACCAGAATTTGACTCAAAATTCTCGGGCATTTTTCAATCCATGTGGTTAAAGTTGTTAGAACTTAATTTGCTCATATTCGCGTAATAAAATAAAATGATGTGTCCAACCAAGTCTAAAGAGCACCTCCCAACAACCCTCAACTGCATGCACTATACCTGTAGCCACCACTCCCAGTACTACCACACCCAACACCACCACGCTAGGGACGACACGCCACTCTCGATAGTACGATACATGTTTAGCCTCTACACGAGACATCCACAGGAGAAGTATGCTCTGTGGTGGCTGAAGGCTCACTGATCAATGAGTTATATAAATGGCAACATGTGTAGAGCGGACAGAGTGCTAGGAGTGGTGGTGGTGGAGTTAGTGGTAACGAAAATAGTGTCAGCCTTCGTAAAGTCTACTTCATTTGATCATGCCTCGTGTAGAGGCGAAACACATGTCGTAATATCAAAGGTGGTATTTCGTTCCTAGTGTGGTGGTGCTGAGAGGGGTGGCACAGGGAGTGGTGTGGCTGGAAGTGGTGGTGAAGGGGATAGTGAACGCAACTGAGGGAGGGTGGGAGGTCGGTGCTTGTCAGACTGGGCAGCACACATGATTTTAAAATTGAAATTAATTTCTAACAACTTCAATATAATGGATTTCCGCAAAGTAACGCCTGATTACTTTTATTATAGAAAAAGTGGAACCTTCACCTTAGCAGCGTATATCATACGGTTAAAATAGTTTAACGTGCAGTCGTATTGTTGGGAATTACTGGGGCTTGCGTCCCAGTATAATCCCATGATTGTACAGCAGCAAAGTGGGGCCGATTACCACCTACACCTCCATTGTGTAGTGTAAATAAGGCCAACCAAAAAACGACTGCGGACAAACTAAATAGTCTACAAAGAACTGCCTGCTTAATGGCAACTGGAGCGATGCGATCATCGCCTGGAGTAGCTCTTAATGCACTTCTGTGCCTTACGCTCCTTGATCTTTATTTAGACCAGGAGGCGAGGGCTAGTTTGTATAGAATTAACGCTCAGGGCTTCCTAAAAATTGAGATCCATTCTCAACTCAATTAAGAAAACACGGATCTTATGCACGATCTCAGATATCATGCGTCCACTATACAATCTTAACATAAGTATCTAGTGGAACTACCCACCAGAGAAGACTGGCTGTATGGACAGATTATCTGTGAGGTCAAAATGGACCTCAACCTAGGCTTTAGAGTTTATGGAGAATGCCCCGAATTCAAACTCAAACGAATTCAAACGTCATACTTCAGTGTGCGGAAATCAATCTGCAAAAACACTACGTTAATCATATAATCTATAATAAACTCTGATAGTCAAGTAGCACTGCTAGCACTGAGATCAAATTTAATGAACTCAGAGCTTGGAGATATTGTGAACCGTCTACACGCCTCGGGATGTAACAACAGGGTCATTTTAAAAATAAAAAAAAATAAAATAAAATATCTTTATTACAGGCAACAGAAAGCCCATATAATATGTTAGTAAAATTGAAGTGAAATGAAATATAACTATTACGAATTTTAGTGTTAGTAATCAATTTAATTTAAATAAATATAATAAACACAGATATAAATTAAGATTTTGAGATATCCGCTAAGAGGGCACCGGCGTTTTATACCTTGGCATGTAGCCGTATCCAGTGCTCAAGCAGCGGCGAGTCCCATCTATCTGCCATTATGTTAAGAATGCTATTGGAGCTGCCCCGCAAACGCTTCAGCATCGATGCAATACGCTTTCTAATAATGGCGTGGAAACCATCAGTGTTCATTTCAGAAAACATTCCTGACGCACTGCAAAAGCGAGGCAACCCTATCAGCATCCTAAACCCATTATTATACTGGACACGCAACGCGCTGTACACCCGCTGCGTATAGTTAACCCATAGGTTGCCCGTGTAAAAAGACTGGCAGTAGGCTTTGAAAATAGTAATCTTTACCTGCCTACTGCAACGAGCAAACCTTCGGGCCACCATGTTACATCGGATGGACAGCGCCCTACGTTCCCGCTCGATATCCATATCATCACGCAGATTCTCAGTGACCCAGTGACCCAGATACTTAAAATGTGAGACACGCTTTAGAGGTGAGTTGTTGAGTGTGAAGGTAGTCGCACTTGGTCGGGATTTGACTCCTGCCTTGAACACCATGAATTCACTCTTTTTCACATTGTATCGGAGTCCATGGGACACTGCATATGCTTCACATACTTTTAATAGTTTTTGCATGACACCAATCGAAGGGCTGAGCAGCACCATGTCGTCTGCGTAACTTATGTTATTAATACATACACCATCAATATGACAGCCTACATTTGTTCCGCTCAGCTCGTCGATCAGGCCATTAATGTACATATTGAAGAGCCTAGGAGATGTAAGACCACCTTGCCTCACCCCACATTCAAGTTTATATACATCAGAGTATGAGCTCG